TGCAACACTTGTTTATTTTCGTTCCTTCATCAGTTTCTCAGTGTTTCATCGCTCAGATTTTATTTAACTTCCTCACTTAAGTTTTAATGTTCTTTATTTAGCCGTAGTCAGTAATTATTTGCTCAAATCACCGGGCGTCATAATTATTAGTTGTTTTTCCAGTCGCTTTTAGAACGCCATTGCGAATATTCTCCTTAGATCTGGATTTTCCTGTTACGATGGCATATTGAGCCTTGTCGTCGTCTCCAGCTTTTCTGGAAGTGACATATGACCCTATTATTAGAACCACCGTGGCATGATCAGACATACAGATGCATTTCTAGGTGCTTTTCGGGCGTCTTACTATGTGCTTCAATGGTCAGGTCACTGAGCTATAATTTCTTCCACCCATGCCGTTATCACTGCTCAATTGTACAACCTTCAGAGTCTTCACATGTTGGTTTATGTGAGGGTCGATTTGAATTACTGTCGTCGCAGTTCCCAGGTTCAATCATCTGGCGATTTTGAAGAGGCCATGTTTCCGGCATGAATAATTTTCCCAATGTGACAGTAGGTTCACCACTGCAAAATTGTGCGTTGGCATCCATTAAAAGCATTATAAAGTTTTTCGACGGTATGGCACCAAATAATTGTAAAATTCTGTCATAGAAAACGTTCTTTCCTTGTTTATCTGTGTTATTCATAAGCCAATGACCGGTTATATCTGTGTTGTTGTGAACAATTTCGAGATGCTGGTCCATCGTAATCTTGGGTAATTGGCCCGCGTTCTTCTACAACTCCTCCGTGGTCTTATCACACGATTGGAAAATCGCATATCTTCTTTGGCCTTCGATCTGAATAATGTATAAGATACTTGGCCATCACAAAACCGCATCCTTCTTTAATCGCTTTTCTTTGAGGAATGCCACCAGTTTGTTTACATTGTTCAAGGTTCCGCTAATGGCATCATGTTTGTCTTCATCTTTCGTGTCTCACAGTTTAACCTCAAAATAATTGGCTTCTTCCGTAGTCGAAACAAGTTTTGGCGGTGTCCCTGAAATGAGTCTTTTTATTCGGACAGATGGACGGCTCGCACTGACAACGTTTGCGCGTCTGTTTGCCCGCTTCGTCGAATCTCATTCCTACCTGAAAGTAATTTTCGTTCTGTAGCAAACCATCGATTTGCACTGTCTCGCAGCAGTTTCTAATGATGAATTTGGCATGATTGGAAATGTCACAGATTCTGTACATTAGACCTTATTAGTTGGTGTCATGTGTATGATATTTCTGCAATTTGGCATATGGGATTATAAAAATTTACGACAAACGTAGCCATCTGCTTCCAGTTGCAGGTATTTTAATTCAAGTTGCAACTCATCCGAAATCCATTAATGGCCGCAAACACACGACAGAAGATAACTTAGTGATGAGCTTTCTGTTATAATCTCAGATATCCCTCGAGCTAGAAAAAAAACATGTATCTCGTACATGACCAAAGACGCAATTCTTGCAACATGCAATTTTCTGGTAAACATTTAGAACACATTTATAACACAAACAAACGACATTTTGAAATAAAATACATCGCACACATTTAGTTTGTGCTACAAAAGAAAAGGTGGTACTGCTTGCTTAATCGCTAGAATGGAATCTCAGGAAGCAAAGGCACATTGTACACAATAAAAAGCTTGCATACAGGGTACCTCTTCATAAATCAACTTTTCTGCTTGGTATCAACTGTCTGCCGCATAGTAAAATTCAGCTGCTCAATTAATATCCTGGTACAGCCGCGTCATTAGGATTTCGCCGAATCAGTGGCCTGTTCTTCCTCCGCCTTTGAAATTTTATTTTTGAAACACTGAATCAAGTCTTTCGCTTCTTTCACACATTCCTGCGACAAAACGAGAAATTTTAACACTGAGAAACGATCTTTACAGAAAACATCGTATAAATACAATAAAACTTAAGTCACAAAATCAAATATTTGCAGAAGCAACAAAATCTGATCCGATTTAACGAGGTAACTAATTTTGTCTCTAAATAACCGTCTTTACGTTCGTGATATCGGGACGAGCAAGGAACAAAGTGAGCTACAGGGAAATATGACGAGGTTTACTTTTCCTAGCAAATGCCGCAGCCAAACAGAACTCCTCGAGTAATTAAAGCAAATATATGCATTGAAAAATGGAGTGACCACATGACCTTGCATAACGATTGCGGATGCTTGTTTTCATTCATCGACAACGACAACACGATGCTATCTGTTAACATTTCGCGATTCCGTTAACAGAACATTTCAACTTGGTCAAGAAATTCGACCGAACTGCTAACTCCCTGTATATTTGGCTATTTTGCGCTGAAAAATTTGAAATTACAAATACTGAAATTTTATCCATAGCGTCGAATATTTTAGCAACAAATATGGAGCTTTATTAATATAATGGGAATCACTTGAGGGTGAGGGTAATAATAAAGACTTGAAATATATTATTTTAGAGTATCTAGGAGCAAGTGTTCTAAGCTCAATCGGAGGAGCGCACGATGTACTGTGCGATAAAAAGTCGTTCATCAATCTGAGGGGAAAAGGTGAAAGATAGTAAAATCGTTGCTTCAATCTGGAGCGGAATCTTTGGCCACAACTGAACTCCATAGAAATGCAGATTTTCAGACGGGTGTGTGGTGTCAGAAAAAGATCTCCGTAATATTTTCACAAAGGGCACTTTCAGCGTAGCACAAATTTCAGAACTAGTATTTCGAAGATGTAATGCAAGAACCGATACTGTCAGGGAAGAAAAAACGGTGAGGACCGAAAAAAAGTTGCGTCATGTAGTAAAGAACGATTTGAAACTGCAAAGAGTGATTGAAGATTTAGTGAAAGATTTAAACAACTGCAAGAATTTGACTGGAACAGCGGACCCCTGTTTAAAAAAAACATGCTAAGAGAGCGAAGAAGTATACAGGAGCACAGGTATAAAGTCAAAACAGCGTTTAGTGATGTTATGCTCTTACTAGAATACGTCTGGCATAAGAATCGTATTTTCTGCTCCATGAAAACATACACACAGAAACCGGCAACTCTTTGGACAAGCCAGAAAAATGAAATGAGAAGTAGAGATACTCTCAAACTATAGAGCTTTAGAACGCTCAAACATACGTATCTGAGAGGAAGCCAGGATGCTAATGCTGCAGAGCTTACTATAGAGGTGTTATGCCACCTTTGGTACTGGTTATTTGCTAGTCTATCGAGTCAGTGATGACCAGACTGATGAATTTTGTTCAGTGGCTCAGAACGTCTGAAAATTTTAAGTGCAGTGGTCGAAAAACGGGTTGCATAATCTGTTGTAAAACTAATTGAAAACGAGACCTAGCACTACAGTACTGTAATCATCGTTTGGAGCCGCCGTTTCAATTTCTCTTGCTGTATAAAATTTTGAGGCCCCGACTGGAAATTCAGTCACCGGTTCGAGCTAATTCTGGAATAACATACATAGACTTTTGAATTTTAAAGACATTGTGACTTTGCGGTCGGCATTTTGTCTTGCCTGAACGCTTGATAAAACTGATAACCAAATCATCGTCGTACTATCAAATTTTCACTTTAGCAACTCAAACGTAGTAGAGACAAAGAGCACAAAATGATTTTAATCTCAGTTTATCTTGCAAATTGGTCTTCTATCATATGGCTTACAAACTAACGCACTGGTCGGTCACTGCAAATTACTGCAACTGCTCGTTTTCTTTTCAAGATTATAATGTCAGTATTATCTGTAATTTATTTTGCGTCTGTATTTATCTCCACAAGTCATGTCAGCTGCAATGTTCAGCAAACGACACCACAGCGTGATAATAATGGTTTGTCAAATTTGATTAGAAAAATCTGATTACAGAGGGTGGACATCCGCAATAATTAATAAAAGGAATTGACAAAGCATTGCTCAAAGGCAAGATTCTTCAACGATTTCGATTAACGTGTTGTAACGATCACCTGTGATGTTTGTATTACAGAAACCTCTCTTGTGCACTAGTATGCACTGCGTCGCCAGCCTTTCAACACCTTTGCAGTGAAGGAAAATTACATTACTTGTAAAAGAAACAGTTTTTCATTGAACCTGTATCGATATCGTTCATCAGTAACGGACGATGATTTCCAAGTCAATGTCTGTCACGCCCCGGCTGCCACATGAGAAGCTAGTTTTTTTATTTTAACAGGCTGAAAATTCTCACTTTAAACTTTCACACTGATAGGACCGCTT